AAGCAGAATGTTGTCGGGCTGGTATGTGCATGTATCCGCCGTTAGGCAGAAGACCTGTAATTAGCAAAAGTGAGATTGGGATCTTTAGCTAATATTGGATATTATAATTTGTTATATTGAATAATCAATATATAAATAATATTAATAAATGTTGGCAATAAATATTTGTTGCATATTCTTTTATATTTATAAATTATTGATTTTAGAAAAAATAAATAAATTAATAATATTACTTATAATTTCAAATTTAGATGATATAGTAGATATATATGAAATTTTAATTAAAATACAAAAAAAATTAATAAAAATAAAATTAGATTGAAATACATATTTTAAAAGAATATTTTTAAAAAAATTTGTAAAATAAATGTATAAATATAAATATTTGTAAATAAATATATCTCTAAAATTTCTAATATTTTAAATCTATTTGCAAAATCTGTTTAAAAAAGACATGGAAACAAAAGATGAAAAATATAATATAATATAATATAACATAATTTATATAGTAACCATAGGGAATGAAAAAGTAAATCGTTGTTATCTCGAGTGCACATAGAATATATTTATGGAGGATTAACGAGACCGCACGGAGAAAGAAAAACAATATGTTATGTAAATAATGTTGCATTCCATGTTTATTCCACGAGCACATGAATCATGTATAATAAAATAAAATAACTATATATTCATGGTTTTTCTTTAACTTTATCATATAACAATATCTGATAATGCCTCATATTACGAAGTATATAGTAGATGAGAAACCATACGAAATAGGATGCGTCTTTCTTAAGTTTAAAAATATTAAGGAAAGAAAATAAAATTGTAATATAAGTTAACCTAATATTTATATAATATTAAAATACATGGTATATACACTATTGTATTTTAGAATAGATATGTAATTTATTAATTTACCATAAACATCAAAATAGAATTAGGATTATTATATTAATATAAGCATAAAGATAGTGATATAATTTTGTTTAATCTCTTTTGTTTCGATTATTTTTTTTTATTTATATAATATCACATATTTTTCATTTTGAATTCTATCAAATAAACATATCCTAATAATCTCTAAATAATTTTTAGGTGATGTCAAAGAGAAAGATGGAACTGTTCATAAATGCAAATATGATGATATAACTATATCAACATTTGGATATCATCCCTAAGAATCTTTAAAGAAATTAATATGATACTGCATAGAATATATGGTTCTATTATAAAAAAAAAAAAAAAAAACGAATCAAATAGCTTTCACCTGATTTTAATAATAAGATCTAAACCCATAACTGATATTAAAATTATTCCAAAAAGCAACAATATTTAAAAATTCTTTTAGACAACTATGCTCGCTCGAGAGAATCCACCATTAAAGGATTAAATCGCGGCTCTATATTGGTTATGGGGAACATAAAGACTTTCCTTTCCCTGGCCAGAACTGTGCCTTTCATTTTTCTCCTGGACAGGATAAACAAGAAGATGGCTGGTCGATGATTTACCTTGAGAATTAGGCTCGGGAAGGTTTTCTCGTGGGACCAGATGCATCACCGTGGTTTTCCCGAAAGGAAGCCCAAGAGCACCGAGCGTGACATTGCTGTGCAGAAAACGGCCCTGGTAGATTAACCGCAGGATCTCCGCTTTAGCGACTGCTTCTTCCGCCCAGTCTGAAAAGACAAAGAGATAGGAATCTCGTATAAGATCTCGAAACGATCTTGCCTCGAATATTTTCAACGTTTTCCATTGGTGGAACAACATGATGAAAAAAATAACAATAAGTTCATTGGACTTATAGAAAAGACGCGAGAATATTTCACTTTGATAATTTCATCAATCGTAAAAATTTTTTGGTAAAAATTTCATGAACTTTCCTCGACTTTTACCGTTCATCGTCTGAATTTAATTCGTCGATGATGTAAAAGAAACATAGAATGGCGCGCAAAAGGATTTAGAAAGATTCTATTGTGGACGTAAAAGATAAGATTATGACGTGACCTAATTATATTTCTTGAAAATTTGTGATGAATAGTAAGAAGAAGAAGAAATTAAAATTGAAAATAAGAGACAAAAATAATTCAATATTATGTTATGTTTCTTAAAAATGCGTGTGAAAATTTTAATAATTATGTTAAACTAGAAAAATAAAAATTATTTTATGCTTTTTCATTTTCATATTTTAAATATTAAATATTTGAAATTATTTTTTTGTAGAAGAAATATTTTTATATATATTTCTGTATATAAATATATGTATTAAAAATATTTATCATAAAAATTATTTATATTTTTTATAATTTTAACTTAAAATTTAACTTTTCAAATATACTACTATCAAAACATCATGATAGATTCAAAATATAAAAATCATATGTATTATTGAAATTTATTTTTAAATTTATTTTTTATACTTTTTATAGTATTTAATAAAAATATTTTTTTTATATCATTTTAACGCAAATTGTGACAAATTCTAATAGAATTTATTTAAGCATTCATAATACAGCATGTAATATTCATAAATTATATAAATTATATATATTAATTATAAAACATCAGATAAAAAAAATGATGCTAAATTGAATTATTATATATTGTATTCAAAAATGAAAAAAGATTTTCTCTTGTATTATATCAGATCAAACATGATCAAATATATAGAGAATTTGGTGCAGTTAATTATTGAATTTTTGGATAATATTATCTAAATTAATTATATCAACAATAATAATTCTCGTGTAATTTCTCTTTTCTATTTTTCAAAACTAAAGTTAATTCCGACGCGACAATTCAAGATAACAAAAGAGATGTTGCGGTCATTGAATACATTTTAATATTAAACGGGTTACTTTTCAAGTATTGAGAAGATTTGCATTAAAACACGCTTCTTAGAAGAATGAAAACCCATTCGATTCACTTTTTACAGTATGGAAATAAAGGTAAATCCAATTCTTTTTTTTTCTTGATTTTTTTTTCTTAAGATTAATATATATAATGCTTACGAGAAACTTAGTATTTCGTATATGATAAAAATAATCTAAAGTGAGATTTGTTATAAAATTGTAGATTAAAATAGAAAATAAATTTTTAAGAATTTTATCTTGTATTTTTTTTAATTTAAATTTATTATAAGTACCATTATTTTATTTGCTTTTAAAAAACAAGAAACAATAGTAACATAACCTATAAAAAAATTTCTAATACTGTATAATACTTGACATGTCGTTCTGAATTAATGAATTCTATAAAATCTGTTTTTTATTATTCTGTATTTTTATCGTTAAACAAATATAAATATATTATTTATTTAATAAGTTTCTTCAATATGTAATTAATAATACTTACATTATTTTTTCAAGGCATTCATAGAAAATAATAAAAATAATAAATGATATTTATAGTTTTGAAATTTCTTGTTAATTAATTAGTTTTTATCAATTTCTCTTTTTTAGCGTAATTTTTATCAGCAAATCTCAGTTGTATAATAAATTATGTCAACAAATTTCTCATTCGGTTTCGAAATTTTTGCTTTGCTTGTTTCGCCATCTCGCGTTGTACCATGCTTAATTGAATTGTACTTCATGCTTTTGATATATCTCACGATAGATGGCGATATTTTATGGTCTATATATTTCTGCGAGTGTTTTCAATTCTAGTACTTTCATGCTTCACGTAGCCTGACAATGATAGACGATGAAAATACAAGCGTAAAATACTATCGTATAGTGTGGATGAACAATAAACTACGTTTAATTTATTGATAGAAAAATATGTTCGTCTAATATATTGTACAATATAGTTATTGTATGGATAATTGTATAAGTGAGTCTTGTGACAAACACAACATTTCTATGAGTTTCTCGATGATAAGGGAATTTCTATGATACATCATGTCAAGTGAAATTTCGAATGATAGATTAACACGATAGGAGATTTAATCGGATCGTCTTACACCATTGTTCAATGCGATTATTTCGAATCTTGTGAATATGCAATATGAATTGATAAATATTGTCAAACTTTCGTAAATTTTATTTTATTTGTTTTTATTCCTTTTTGTTCTTTTATTTATTTGTTTTTTCATAATAAAAATCTTTTATAAAAAGAATCATATAGTTGGTTAATTGTTTCATGTATGAAATTACAATGTAAATAAATTTCAATAATAACGTACCTTCCGGCCAGTTTTCAAACACATGGTGCGCTATGTCCCCCGCAGAGTCGCTCGGACTGAATAGGAACTCTTTTGTCTTACCACTGACAAGAATGAGGCGTAGATTTATCTAAACAAGAAAAAAAACAAGGTTTCCTTAATATTTCAATTTTTTTGATCTTTTATAACAAAAAATATCGTGTACCGATATATTATCTCAAACATTAAAACAAATAAAATTATCTGCACAATTCGTTTAAACAATTTCATTAATCCGTCAATCCGTTTGTTTGCAAAATACTTGGACCAACAAGTCACTGTTCAGTTAACGTTTTAAATACAAAGGCAATTCTTTGCCTTTAACTGCGATATTGACTTACAAAATGAACTCGAATAAAAGCGTCAGGCGGTGACTATAGATCATCTCTAGCACCCTTCATACTCTCTCGCACGAGTACACGTGTCGTAATTCTCGTTCGTTTAAACCCTTCACCCTTAATCTTCATTTTCTCGTTGTGCTTTGAATCGCAAATGTCGCGCCCCTTCGTGGTGTATCTCTCTTACTTCGAGGGGTCCATAACAGAGGTCGCCTCTTTGGCTCGTCCGTTATAAGGACAAAGAAGAAAGAAAACGCGCTTGGAAAACGTTGAAAAAAAGCTTTGCGAGGAAAACTCAAGGCGAAAAGGACTATAAGAGGTATTTAAAATTTACATATGTGGTTTTTTTTATTTATCTTTGCAAAGAAACATACAGTATGGAAGGGAATTAATTCCGACTTTTTTTGTCTTAAATTTTCTTAATTTTAACTTTTATATTTCAATCCCATTTAAGTAATGAACAAAAATTTTTTTAGATAACTGAAAAAAACAATCAAAATTATTAAAATGTTACAAATAATATATAATATGATAAATAATATGATATGAAAAATCAATATAACCTATAAATATGATCATGTTATATGATAACAATAAATCATTGAAATTAATCTTTTAACCTTTTATTTTTTACAAAAATTTTGTTCAAAGAGAAAAATATTTCATATTTTATACAATAAGATCGTAAACATAAGTTCATTATTTCCAGGAGATCTAAGATTCCCTTAAGAGACTTCAATTGACTTAAGCAAGTCACCAGCCACGTTTCATTCGCACAACAACGAGGACAATTAAGACTATATTAATCATCTATTTCTCTCTTTCTTTATCTCCCTTCTCTTTGACTGAGTCGACAAATTACGGTCAGTGGCCGTTTTACGGACGCAAATTCAATTACCGTTTCGCACAGAGACCGGCCAACATAAATAATTACCAACGAAGCCAGACTCGTGGTCGTTCGGAGGAAGTAAAATAGATGAATAGAAAAAGAGGAAGAGAACTTGTGATTCTTCGTGGCTTTTGTGGTCGTAAAAATCCGATGCTAGCGTTGTAACAGCATAAATCATTGTTATCTAATCACAAATAATCGATGTTATCATATAAGAATTATTTGAGACTTTGAGACTTTCATTATCGATCAAATCTAAAACTAAGAATTTCAAATTTATGTAAGTAATCGATTTATTTTATTCAAATACGATGATTTTATTATATTTTGATATCCATAGGTAATATCGTATGATATTTCATCTAAAGTAAATTCAAGTGTTGACGTCTATAAGTTCATCTATAAAAAAATTAATTACATCATATTACATCATCTTGAAACCATTCAATATTTATTCGAAACGTTTTTTGATATTTCTAAAAACAAACGATATTCTAGATGATGAATTTAAATGAAAGTAGTAAGTTAGAAAATATCATAATATAATATTTCTTATTAACAAATTTATTTTAATGCTAAACTTTATCATGTTTGAATAATAGGATTTAAAATATCGAACTTTATGTGGACGTAACACTGCTTACATTCGTTGCTTCGAGGACGCTACTTCATCTAACATTTGAACGTTCCCTCTACAATCGTGTTCTTTTGCAATACTCCATGGTATTTTATTCTCAGTACCCCCTTTTCTCTACAATGAGCTCTTTTGTACCCGTTACTGTATCGCCTTTTATCATTCTTGTTACGTTTTTCATGTTTCTTACTCAACTGTAGTAATGAGCATTCAATGAAACTCCAGGATTTTAAATCGTGCTTTAAAACTTCAAATGCAAGACGAATATAATAGAAACTTAATCATGGTTTGTGCAAAATTAAAAAAAAATAAAGAATGAAATAAATTACCGACAATATATCGTATAATATACATAAACAGAAAGATTTGAAATGAATAAAATATTATTTTTCGCAAATATTATTTTCTCTTTCATTCAACGTTTTATTTTCGAGACAGCATCTTATTTCATAAGAAAAATTAAAGGAACATATATTTATATTTATTAATTTTAAATCTAAACATAATTTATACATTAGGATATCTCATGAGACTTCAAATTTTGGTCAAAATTAATTTTATATATATTATATCTCTGATTTTCTTTACATTCTTTATATTCTCAAGAAAATTGAAAAAAAAAAATAAAGTTTAAAATTCCTTAATTAACAAATAACGGATATCCGAAAATATTCCTTAAGTCCAATGATGTTCGATAATAAAAAATTAATTAGCGATGGCCAGTCGTGAACTCTGACTCAGTCCAATCATAAATATAATTTAATGCTATACAAAAGTTCATGGTATGCCGTTAGTTCGTACTTTATAATTAATCCGCGCGAAATGGGATCTCGTGGGTAACGATAGACCCGGACAAATATTTCCGCTTCTACTGCAGCGTGCACCGGTATTCCGCCATAAAAGCTCGTCGTCCCACGCGAGACAGTTTCAAAACACGTGGCGCAACACCACCTCCGCATCTCTTCCCTTTCACCCTTTTCCTGCATTCCTCTTTTTTCCTTCGTTTCGTTCCGTTGTTCCTGCTCCGGCAAGAAACGAAAGCATCAGAGAGGGATGACAAACTTGGTCGCACCTGTGTGAACTAGGGTTTTTAAAGACACACACACAGGTATAAAGATACACGACTGGGTAGCCGACGATGAGAGGAAAACGTGTCGGTTTTAAAACGGTTGAAGCTGCAAGATTTTTCGGAGCGGAGTTGCTGTGGGTGGTGGAAACTTCAAAGGGACTTATTCATGCGGTAGCATTCGATACTCGGTTTTTTACCGTGCTACACACGCTTGTAGTTAGACGCTCGTTGGACGGAGTGTGTTTAAGGGAGAAGAAGCGTATGTGTTGTGCTACCTGATGCGTCATCCACGACTGGATGCTTTTAAAAAGCTGTGGAGGGAGAAAAGCTGTTTCAGCTTGACAACACTTTCCGGCCTCCCGGTTCCTCTGCGTAGAGAAGTTCAACCGCATGTTCAGTAACAATTAGTTCTCAAAGATAAAACGATTAGAAGAAGAGAGAGTAGCAGAGGATAGGAAGAGAAAGAGAGAAAATGTATGTAAAATGTCCCACGAATATGACGAAGAATAATGTTAAATATGGATTTATACAAGGTTTTGAAATTGATAGTATATAACTGATAAGAATATAACTGTATAAAAAAATGAAAATTGCATAAAAAAAAGTTTTATATTGAAAAAATTGTTTTTAATAAATTATTCTTTTGTTGGATATTATATATGATCTAATATTAGTTTGGAATATTATTTGACACTTATATAAAAATATTAATTTTTAAATTATATCAGAGGTGACAAAAAGTTTGTTTTTTTTATATTTCTTATTATTACAGATTTATTAGAAATTTTATTATGAAAAAATATCGATTATTTATTACGTTATAAACGAAGAGACGAAGATAGATTGAAACAGTTTTATCTTTATCACAACACCGCGTTGCTTCATCTATTGCAAACTTAAATTGCTTATAACTTAATAAATAACCCTTAATCGATATTTCTATATACTAACCTTGGCCTCCAGAATCGATCCTCCAAAAGTATCTCATATATATTATATTATATTAACACATATATTTACTTAAAGAAAAAAAAATGAGAATGAACAGAATTTGAACTCTTCAATCAAAAAGTCAATCGAAGACTTTCTTATCTACGTTACAATATCCTTAATTTCTTAATTCCTTCTTATTTAATAAACAACAAAATTCCTATATCACAATATTATGACGTATATCATAAAATACATTCTGTATATACATTATGTTAAGAAAAGACGAGTGAGTGAGGGCGAACGAGGCAGATTAATAATAAAAAGGGAAAATATTGACGAGTACACGTGTAGTCGATAGTCGTCATGGACGCAATGTAAAGAGGGATAAAAGAGGCGTTTCGCGACACTATGTAGGGAATGAGCTTTCTCTCCTGTAACGCAGTTGGGTGGTTCGTAAAGTGATGCTTTGAAAAGTGCCGCTTTAAAAGATGAATATGTAACGGTGGCCTTCGTCCTCGACGTGGCCCTTTCCTTTATTTGCACGATGAGTTTCGGAACTTTGAAAGAAAGCCGAGTGAAGCGGACAACTCGCCTCCGACACTTGGTTCTCTTTTTCTTCGTCGTTTTCTTTTCCTTTGGCTAATTATCGTGACTGAAGAATAGCGACTCATTTCCTTTTTCTCGATAGAATGGGAGAATGGGACTTTCCACTGGTGTCGAGAAATCGCGTGTAATTGATAAATTTCTTTTTATTTGTTCTCTTTGTGAGATACGTTGCTGCATAAATGTTCGGAACTATAAAACATATTGAAGAAAGTATTTATATATAAAATGTAAAGAGAATAATTTAATTGTAAATTTCTTTGTATTAAAAAAAATTATTCAAATTTAAGTTAGGTTTCATTTATGAAAAAATGTGATAAATTGTTTCATTTAAATAAATTATTAAGATTGTTAAAATTTTATTATACTTATCTGTTCATATTATTTGTTTTAATTAATAATTCTTAATAATTCTTAAAAATATGATAAATTGTGATTTAGATACGTAATACCTTAATTCTCTGCTATCATAATATATTTTAAAAATGCTCAATCGACAAGATAAATCTATAATATTTTTTTCTCCCTGTAAAAAACAAGATAATAATTCTTACAAATTTAATCATTATTCATGTCATACAAATTTAAAATAAATTTTTTTTTTCACAGCAAAAGTCTTATTATAATATCCAAATAAAAATTAAATAAAAAGTAAGAAATATATATCGTAATTTTATTTCAAATCATTCAAATCGAAAAGATATTGCAGATACAGAAACGAAATTATTCAATACAAGGCATACTTCGAAAGTTTCTCTCATTTTTTGAAATATACATTGAAATCGTGTCAAATTTTTTGTCATAGAAAATCAAAGAAAAATTAGTAATAGAATTTAAATAAAAAAGAGAAAAAAAATAGAATAGGATAGAAAGAAATAAAATATAATATAGAATATTTTCAACGAATTACAGATGAATCTACTTTAAACTAATTTCATTAGTAATTAAGGGTATCACAATACCTACAACACATTGCCCGTGGCGTCACTTGTAATAACAACGTGCAACTGCTCCCGAGAGAACAATCGAACATGGACTATCGATCGTTGCGAGAACACCAATTTGTATTATGCATCGTGTTGTGAGTACCGATTCTAAACGGCTGCCCTTGCTATCGCGGAAACCGGGTTTTGTTTGTATAAGCTGAATTTGAAATCAGAAAGCCTAACAATCGAAAACTCTCACCCATTTTCCGATCAGCATTCAATCGGTTAGTGGAATCTAGGGTTTACGATTTCCTTTATCGATGAAACTGACTTTTTGAGGTTATGAATAAATTTCATATGAATTTGTGAATTATATGAATGAATAATTCGATCGATTCGAGTGAGATATTCAGATTTCTTAGATTTTAATCGAAACTTTATTATAATTTTATTTTGCCATTTTTGTTTTTTATTTTTTTCATTTTCTTCATTTGGATTTATTCTTATTTTAATTAATAATCATTAAAATTTTTTTTGCAATAGAATTTTTTGAATACAAGTTTTCAAGATGATTATTTTCAGGAAACTTTATACGATCTCTCTACAATTTGCAAGCTTTCAATTTTATACGAAATCTCTCTATTTCGACGCCAAGCGTATTCAGTTTCACTTTAAATGCAGTAGCACAATACATGCTCTTCTAAAAATTATTCGCACGTTGGAAATGCATTTCACCGTGTCAAGCGCAACGAATGTCCACTCTATCCATTTCATGTCGATTCGACTTACCGGTGCACGAAACAAGTAAAATCTAACGAAAACCAACAAGTCAATAACTTTTTTCGCCTGTCCAATCTTCAATCTTTTTGGAATTTTGAAAAATAAATACGTAGAGATTGAAATGACTGGAAATCACTCGTAATTCTCGTGTCTCTTGTTCAATGTGAAAAAAAAAAGTTTTATAATATACGGTCGATACATCTGGTTCCGTTTTTATCGGTAATATACACGAGATATTCGAGAGAGTATAGTAAATGTGTCAAAAATATCACATCCGTAGTACATGACGTGAAATTCAGATTTTATTTAAAAAAAAAAAAAGGTGAAAAAAGACAGAAGTGAGAGAAATGACTCGAAATAGACAACGAGGGAATGATAGAAATATTTTCTCCGAGCTTTGTGATACACATAACGATTTTTCTCTTTTTTTCCCGAAGTATCCAGGTTAAACGTTTCGGTACAAGATGAACACTTTGAATACACTGAAATATTATTTTCAATAGAATTCCTATGCAATTTAGACACTAATACCGCGATCTGTTTGATTAGGATCAAGGTTGCAAAAATCTAACGACACGTTTATCAATGCAGATAGGTTAAGTGTACTCGTTATACAGTTCGAGTGTTAAAGCACTCGTTAAGCGAACGTAACGAACAGAGCACTAGACTGCGCGCGCTTCGTTATATCTTTTCCATTTGCTTCAGTGAAAAGCATTTGTCGCAACAAGAACAAGATGTGAAATGATGAGAAAGAAAAAAAGAAAAATTATGAATTTACGTTGGCAATTCATTATTGGAAATAACATTCCTTTAATTTTATAATTTATAAGAATGTCTTTCAATTATTACACTTTTTAAAAATATTAAATCTTTTTTTAAAAATTGAGGTTAGAAAATATAGTGAAAAATACAGTGTTTCTGATGTAATATTATATTTCTTGTCTTGAAATTTTTAATTGTTTTAAATTCCATTTGAATTTTATATAACTATTAACTTTATATTTAAAATATAAAATTTTGATATATCTTTTTAAAACATTTATAATATTGTTTTTCTTTTAAAACGCAGGCTATTATTAACGATAAATTTAATTTATCGTTAAAGATATTATTAAAAGAAAGTATAACCATTAATTTATTCAAAATGAATATATAACTGGTTCATTAAGATTACAAAAATTTTCTTTAATAATTTTCTTGTCTAACAAATGTATTTCGGTATCGTGCAAAGGATCATCCTATTAGTCAAGGCATAGCCCGCCTAGAAGAGCAGCTCATATTTCAGTCTTTCTCCTTAGTGAAAAAACACTGGAGGTCTGAAGATTGAAGGTAAGCTAATACCAATAGTTCTTTTTTTCATTCGACATCTGTTCAAAGTCACTTTCAAAACACTTGTGTATTTTTCATGCCTTACTAGATTAATTATGATACAAGGCGTAATGAATTAGGATGTTTATCTATTAAGAAAATACATATGAAATAATCCCTAATTGAATTATCTCCCTGATAAGAGAAAAAATAATTCTAGGCTCACGTGATGATGATATATCAAAAATAAAAAATAGATATTTATTTTTTATTATTATGAAGAAATGACTTGATTTCTTTTTAAATGATTAAATCAATTCTAAAAGAATTAATTTAATTAGAATATTAATTAGAATATAGAATATTAAAAATAATTATTAAATCAAAGATTATTTAAAAAAAAGAACTCCACAAAATATATCTTTCAATATATTATGTATCTATGTACATATTCTTGTATATTCAACCAATAAGGTAACTATAATGAATATAATTATTCACGTTTCTAAGAACTATTCTAAACAGATCAGTGAAGAAAAATATTATAGTGGAATCTCTAATTAATTTTTGTGTAACAAACTTATAATAATTCCAAGGTAATGAAACTGATTCGTGGCAAACTTGCTTTGTCATTTTAGAATCCAGTGCACGAAGGTTATGGTTTATTATGGTCACGTTAAAGTAGCGAATGTAAGAAATAAGTCTTTAAAATTCTAGGTCAGAGTTGCACTCGTGCGAAGCGTTGCACTCAAAACTGGAGTGTAAAATGTCCATGGAAGAATGAGCTGCTCTTGTGTCGCACTATGTAGGCGACACTATTTCGCTCACTAAGTTCAGATATCGTTTTTCACCGTGTATATCTCATGGACAGTGCTGCAATGTTGCCATCTTAATGCTGACACGTCGTCTTTCAAGGCTCAAGAGCTCTGATTACTCTTTCTCTGATCGCTCTCAAATTCGCTATTTCAGATTGATATATTGTGAAAAATATACAAATTTCGTCAATTGATTTGTGTTTTAAAACAAAATATAACTTAGAAATATTTTCATAGAAAACGATTAATAATTTCTTTTAAAAAAATATTAAAGTATGTATTCTTAATTTAAGAACAAATTTATTAATTCAAATATACAATCGGATATATATTGGATATACATAGTCAGAATGTATCATTGCTATAAGTCATACTATAACTTTATGAGGCGTAAAAGACAAATCCAGATGTCAGATATGAGAAGAATGGAAAACGGGTTTTAGCTTACAAGGAACTTAATCGAGACAACGTTGTTCCGAAACGTGTTAGATCGGCCACCGGGAAAAGATTAAAAGCAACAATTTGAATAAGAAGCTTAACACGGCCGACACAATAGTAATTCCGCGCAATTTACATACTTAAGCGCCGGTTGAAACAGGTCACCGCGTCATTACGTAAATACTCTGGAGAAAGAGGGCGTTTCACGCGGAAATAGTGGTATAGTCGTTAACAAGTTGTACACAGTGTGAATAGAATAGAAAAATATATAACTATTTTGATCGGTTTCCGATTAATCGATTCTATTTTTGATGGAAAAAGGAGGAAAATAAATTATCATATGTACATATGATTTTATTTGAATATTTTATAAGAAATTTGTTTTATAATTTTTATAATTAATCATTTTTTAAAACATGGGCTTGCAATCTGTGAATCATCCTCAAAATCATCATTGCAAAATAATTTCAATATTTATAATGAAAATTTTAACATAAATGATTTATTGTTTATTGTGAAAGATATTAAAAAAATATCAAAGATCTTTTTAATTTTCATTGAATCTGATTTATTCTTAAAAATAAAATTGAAGATCAATCTCTAATAAATTCTACTTTTTTCCAGAATAATTTTCATTCAATAATAATTCTTCACATCAAAATCATTCCACGTTTGCATTTAATTTAATAACATTCGTTAAGATGATCCTCTCTCGGCGGCGAGATCACCAAGGACTGCTATTCGACAAACAGGAAACAAAGAAGGAAGAGACAAATGGTCTAATAACGAATAGAAGCATGTATCGGGGGAAGTTTACCTTGATTTGGGGAGAGTGCACGTCATAGGGTCGAGGCTACGATATAACTACGTCAGGATTCGTAAACTGGGTCATTGGGGCATTCGAGTGCATTTATGTGCATATGCATAGAGTATGACCTAGATTCGGAACGGGTGCGCGCGACCGTGCTCGCCCTTCGCCTGAAAGCGTTGTGTGCGTCCGTCAAAGAAGCTCGTCGAAAAATACGAGCCAGGTTCCGTGAATGTATGTCGATACCATCGGGACTTCCGAGTGAGACAGAGCGGGAGAGTCAAGCGGCGGCTGCTGCTCTGCATCATCATCCCTCTATGCTGTATTCTTCAACCATTTTTTTGAGTTGCGACCTCCTTTGTGATATTCGAATAATTTGCAACCTCATATTTTCTTTATAAGAGAAATTTAAAAACTTAATATTTTATACGACTTTATTATCGCAAAATGATTAGCGATACTGTTTTTTTCTGAAATTAAATAACGAGACATCTGGTACTGCTATGGAATATAATTATGCAATTGTATTAAAATAAATGAGCATTGAAAGTCATTTCAAATGAAAATGACAGCAATAATTACATCCTACAAATTATCTTGCGAGTCACAATTCATGTAAAGAAATATTGTTCTATAAGAACAATTAAATGATTTTAAAAGTGTACTAGAAACTATTATATTTTATAATACAATATACTTTGTAGAATATTAGCATTTGGCATGTTTAATTTATTTACATATAGATTCTTTTATGTTCTTAATCTTGAATAAAATATTTCTAATATAGATAGTTTATTTTGTATATCTCTTAATTCTCAACAAGTTCAAATTTTGATTATGTACATAAAAATCCAAATAGAAATAAATAGTTTAGAACTCTATCTCAATTCCTTCTTCACATTTCCTGATTTTTTATTCAATTAGTTAATAAGTGGATTCAATCAATAAAAGTTTAGTTAATAGAGTATTAAAACGTTCCATTATAAATAAAGTTTTTCTATATGGTAAATATATTACATAATTGGAATTCATATAAGAGATTATCAATTTTTCTCACTATTTATGATTTCTCATTTAAATAATAGTATAAGGATAGGATTCATGTTCAAATAAAGTGGATTCAATCGATTGAAATTCAATCCATCAGATATTAATTAAAATTTCATCATAGTAAGTGCAATTTTACAAGTAGTATAAATAACGAGACCTTTAAAAGTTTTTTTTAACGAAGATTTAATTTTAAAATAACATTTTGAAATAGAGTTATCGACATGTTATCGAAAATAAAATTTTTAAAAATAAAAAAAAATTCAAAATTGTGCAACGAAAAAATCAATTACTTTAACTTGCCAAATAGCATCTTCATCCTTGATGTTATTTATAGTAGGAACATCTGTCAGAATTAATTACTTGCAATTTAAATATTTTCATGGAAAAAATATTAAAAGTCATAACTAAAGACAGATATCCTTTTCTGATATTTGATTAATATTTCTTAAATTTATTCTACAATTTATAACACAAATATTCTCAAATAATAAATTATATTCATCGATAATTTAATATATATGGTACAAAATATAAATTAAAATTATAATAATAAAATAATATAACTTAAAATTAATCGAATATAAAATTTAAACTGTCTTTAAACTATTATGGTTATCTATAATCCAATGATTATACTTATATTATACAACTTATGATTAAGAGTTAAAAATGATAATAAATTAATTTCTAATGATCAATATAATTTTAAAATAAAATGTATGAGTTTCTTATGGAAGCCGACTTTTCTGTAATTTTCTGTAGCTAGCATATGTGACGTCAATGCACGACTTGCTTAACAAATGAGAGGCAGTAGCGCCTCCGCCTTTGAATACAATTATAATTTCATACGATATTCGTTCGTGTGTTACATTCTTTCTTTTTTCTTTTTTTTCACCATCATCGTTTCTACTGTATCGTCGTGTTTAGATTATTATATTTTCTTTCAGCATGTTGCAAAAGATATTAACAAAATAAAAAAAATTTACAAAATAAAAAAAAAAACTCTCCTGATTTGAACTATAATAAAATAAAATGTATATAAATTATGGATTATTTGTATTTTTAAGGAATTTTGTGAAAAGAAATAGTAGTAATAATAATATTATTAATAGTAATAGTAGTGGTATTAATAGTAGAGAAAGAGAGAGTAGAAAGAGAGAAGTTTGAGATTCCGGGAAACTGGTTCGTGTTTTCGGCTTGACCGAAATGGGAGGCTTTATCGATTGAACCTCGGATGGAAGTTATTGCTGAGGACCTTGTGCTACGTCACGGATGGAGCTTTGTTGACGTAACTGCAAAAACAAAATCTTTTTATTGAGATTTAATATATGCTTTTTTTTTCTAAATGAATTAAAATAAAATGTGTAGTGAAAATAAAACTTTTTTGATCTTTCATGCTTTTTTTTTTAGATAATATTGGAATTTCAAAGTTTTATTCTTTTTGAAATTAATTATATAATCTTATAAATGGCTATAACTCTGAATTAAATTTTATATATAACATAAGAAACTAGGAAAAAACTTTGAATCATTAAAATGCATATTTTTACTTTTTAAAATTTTGTTGATTTATAAGAAAGCTTGATTGCCTGACATTTCTTTTGAAATTTTTTATAATTTTACAAAGTCATTATTTTCAAAATAGTGCATTATTTTTGTTATTTTTCTATATTGATACATATTTTACCAAAAAAATAAATATCAATAAACTAATTTTGCTATTGTACTTTGTTATTATGATACATATAATTTATCATGATATTTTGATGCAAATATAGCTTTATTATAATACATGAGCTAGATAATAAGTGCATTCTAAATGCAGGAACAATAAAATAAAAGTTCATATGAATATATATATACTGCTTGACCTTATTTTCAAGTATTCATTTTTGTATTTTAGTAATCTTTTTCGAAAGTAGAATACGCTAACTAGATATATCGTTCATAATTCTGATTAATCACGTGTTGCAACATATATTTCAGAATTTATATGCAGTTATAAAATGCATAGTGCATTTTTCTCTACACGTAATAAATAAAAATAAATAAAATATCATTTTTAGACATGTACATTCAGTATCTTGGATTATTTATATTATTTAATTATTTCAAATATATTTTTGGAATTACGAATGACATTATATTTGAAATGAAATTCTATGCTTTATCATTATTAAAATACCGAAAATATTATATTGGGATTAAGAATTTCACAATATACAATAACTAAATATACAATTCAAGAATATTCTCTACTTTCTTATAATCTGAAAAAAAAATGCAACGAATATTAATCATTTTTCAATTAACTATATATTTAAATATTTAAATAAAATTTCTGAAGAATTTTTCTTTTTTCAATAAAAAATTAATATCAACAATTAATTTCGATAATATTACCAACAATTAACATCAGAAAGATAAATTCAATGACCTAACACAATATCAACTTTCAAATAATCTTAGATTTAACTATGATTATACAACCATCAACTTTTATAGCCATTTTTAAATATTTCTCGGCATGCAAAATTATCTCGAATATATGCGCGATCCTTAATCCTTAAACCTTCCTTGGTTTCTTAATTTTTCTAATCGCTAAGGCGCCACAAAGCTGTCGTTCGAAACCCGTCTCTTCTACGTGCGTTCTCAAGATGGGTCAATGAGATACCAGAAATTATTCAGACGAAAGTCGCCACGAGTCGAACGTGGCTGGGCTCCGACTGACGCCAGAGGCGGAGATAACACCGACACGCTTCCGCCAGAAACGAAATATTCCGAACGGTTTGCTGCTCCCTCGTTGGATGTCTCGCCTGGAGTCTTTACTGCCGTGCAGGGATGCATCTATGCGCCGCTTTTTATTATGGCCACACTCCTCTTCTACGAGATGCGGGTCAAAAGTATGTGGTGAATGCATTTTCTTTTAGGTTATTTTTGGTAAGAATGACAAGGTTGTAAGACAAATCATTATTTGTTACCTTGGGCAAATATTTTTCCAAAAGATTAACATCTAAGTACTTCGACACGTGATGGATGGTAAGTGGAGATTATTAATATTTTTATTGTTATTTTTGTTTTGGAATGTGATTATTAAATTTTCAAATGTAATAATAATTATTTAACCTGAAATATATATTAAAAAAAATTAGAAAGTGTATTGTAAACATCATAAACATGAAATTTTAAGAGTAGTTTTTTAATAAATATCTTTTAATAATATGATTAATTGAAAAAAAATGCAACGAATATTCAATAGTCAATAAAAAATTGACTATAACTATAATATTGACGATAACTATGTATAAATGAAGAAATATTGTAATTTTCATATTAATTTACCATTTACAAAATGCGTTATTTTATACAAGATTTTTTTAATAAATCAGTATTTCAAATAAATATGTTGAATTTTTTAAAAATTTTGTTACTTATTGTTAATAATTCCAACAAAAAATCTATTCCATTATTTTATGCAATTTAATAAGAATTTTTTTTCTTCAATGTCTAGATTCTATAATTTCTATAATGATAAAATCATTGCTCTCGAAAACTGAAAATAAGGAATTCATTTTCGACGACAAATGAAGGACTGAGAATGTAGTAACTCCTTTGACGTAATTTTAACGAGGCGAGGATTTTCACGTGGCACCACTTGTTAACAACGCACAAAGTGTGCCCCTTTTAATCGGGTCGGTCTTCATCATAGCCGATTTCAAACTGTAATTGGATTGTGAGATCGTGAAACGGAAACGATTTTAGACGATCGTTTAGGATGTCGACTTTGAAGCACGAAAACTTTAAAGAACTTTCTGATTGCGATATTCAATAAAATAAGAATTAAACTGTTAACTTGGAATATTTTAACCATGTATTCATTTCAAGATCGACGTAATTATCGTAAAAATTATTACTGTAATTTTTCAATTATATTTTTAAGCATATATATATATTTAGAAGATTCATTATATTTTTCGATTTTTATAAATAATATTATAAATATATTAATAAAATTGCAAGAAATATTCGTAAATATTAAAGAGTTACAAATAAAGAATTAATTTTCTGTTATTAAATCGAATTTAACATATATATCTCTTCGATTAAATAAATCTCGTAAAATCCATGTCGATTTTATCACCGCTATTCCATCCCTGAAAATTAATAACGGATGTAACAGAAACAGTTATTTCGGTGAATGGTAAAAATAGTCGGATCTAATAAAGTAACGCGGTATTCATAGACTGATATCACGATGATCGTCAGATAAGGAGGGACAATGGGATCCAACATCGAAATGAATGATAGCATATGCACGATATCTCGGACAATATTTCATGCTATGCCGTAATATTTTTAAGGAGATCACTTTTCCTCCATGCAATACGCTTTTGTCCACCGCTATTCTATATTTTCGATTCGAGATCCTCGAAGAGTAATATAGGTACATTATTAAACGGAGCATCGCGAAAAATATAAACGTACATGGAATGAGGATAGAATATATTATCAGAGAAAAGGAGAAAAATGAAAATTCTTTCATCGTGCTGTGATAAAGCTGATTTATCCATGCACAATGGCACATTATTTGTAGATACGTGGAACAGAGATAACGGTGATATAAACGAAGACGGATTAATGATCCGTGAAGTCCGATATTTGCAACCTTGTTTTTTGATTATCTTCATAAGTTTCGTGTAATTTTCATACAAACTAATTATCAGATCATAGTTTATTATGATTAGTAGATATTATGAATATATGAAAATTCGATCATATCATCTATTTTATTAGCATTATTAGACTAAAAATACCAAAATTATTGAATTTTGTTAATAATAATTTCTCGCATAGAGTTTCTAAAATCTCAGATTTAGATATTGTGAAAGAGAAATTTAATTTTAATTCTAAATTCAAAATTTAAAATTTAATCTAAATTTAAATTTAAATTAAAATTCAAATTAATTCAAAACATTAATTCAAAAACATAATAATCTAACCTTGTATTTATAAAATTTGATTTTATATTTTTGTGAAATTTTTTGAACTTACACTAACTAACGCTTAACCTAAAAATATTTTTAAAATTATGTTAAAAGTTGATGTAAGTTAATTCGATGTTTTTTCTTTGTTTATTTTCTTATTCTCTTCAAGCTAACCTAAATGCTACCACAATCTACACAAGCTACCTAAATGTACCAACTCCTAGTAGAAGTATTAAAAGCAGGAAGTTACTTTGCTGCGATTTCGCGCGAATTTGCTGGAGAATTCAACGGCATTCATCGTAGCCTCGAATCGTTTCTCGAAATGGTAGCAATCCCGCGAACTATCTGCTTCGCGTAAAGCGTTAGAAAACACGAGGAGAATCCGCATATAACACTCACTCAGAAACTTTCTATCTGCTTCTTTTTTCTTGCACATTCTGATCCAACGATCCAGTGAGAGTCAATGGCAGTGCATTGTTGAGGCGATCGTGTTCACGGAAAGGATACAGCACAAGTACAATGCATGCCTACGGCGAGAAAACAAAACGTGAAAAAGGAATGGCGGAAAAAAAGAGGAGACTGGCAAGGCTTTCGTAGAAATTACGGCGAAGCGCCGGTCAAGATAACGACCGGCTATTGTTCGTGGAAGTTATACTTCTTCTTTAGGGTGGCTTGCAACGGCTTCCTCCCAAGACTTCTTTCAGGCTTCGCCATGAACACAAGACGCCAAGTAATCGACGCGTCGCGATCGGAACTAATGGATACCACGTGACACAGTTTTAACGAAAGAGTAGGGAATTGTGTTACTCTAGGGATTTTACTAGATCATAGGAATTTTATTTTCAGTATTATTTTTCTGGTGTAAAAATTTTTTTCCCTAATTACCTATCAGATTAATATTTTTTTACGATAAAAAGTTTATCACTTGTTAATTATACGGTTAATATATAATATAAAATGATAAAAAAATTGAAGAAAAAAAAATACAATAATTATAGAAGTATTTAAGTATAGGAATATTTAATTCATATATTCATCTTTAAAGCTTTTTATGTGAAGTTCTCTTTGAAATTCTCTTTTTTTCGTTCGATACACTTGTAGAGAAAGGTTCATTAAAGACTAAAATAGGTCATCCTACATGCATACAGACTGTGGTCTGTAATATACATAGTCTCTTGGTGAGGTAGAAGTAACATACTAGGACGATTGTACTATTCTTTTTTCTAAGCGATGATACGCTCCTATGTTTCATAATACTAGTAAGCTTTTATCATGCTCATACAAAACGAAACTATTACTTTTCGTGCACTTTTCTTTTTTGCTCTAGTGTTCATTTTTTCACATACTATTTTTTTGAAAATGATGATTTCTATTATTAAAATTATAAATATAGAATATCTTTAAATAAAAAATTTTGGAAAATTATATAATATGTAATTAATAATGTTAAATATAATTTCGTTAATTGTACTAATATACAATTTTATTATTTTTTAAAATTTTGTAAAACTAATAAATATAAGAAAAACATATATTTTATAACAAACGTTAATATCAAACATTAAATATTAAGCAACAAATATAATCACTTTTATATGAGCATACATTTATTTGCATATAGCATACATATTTTAAATGAATCATTATATCAGATCAATTGTATTTGATGTTTCTCAAAATTCTTTTAAAAAGAAGACACAGCTAAGAGAGCTAACCTAACCTAATAGATCATCAACGACTAAAAAAGAAAGAAACGAAAAAAGAATAAAGAAACAAACTGAATCCAAATGAATAAAATAAATATAATATAAAAGCAGCAAGAGATGGAAGAAAAAGCGCAATAGACACGAACAACGTGAATTGTGTACAAATATTTTCATAGAAATTATTTTAGAAAATGGTCCTAACGATTAGATCGGATTTTCGACGATTCGAGTTACTCTACATGATTATTTTTCATAAAATGAAATGGAAACACCTGGTCAGGACTTTTTAAATATATATATTACATAGTAAAAATGTTTATTTATATAAATAATAAATAATATATTAAATAATAAATCTTTTTGAGAAAAAAACAAATTTTTTCATTTAAAAATATAAATAATCTTTTTCTAAGAAATTTCAGCAATTTATGTTTATAAACATAACCTTGTATATTTACCCATTATTATAATTAAATGATATTTCAATCTATAATTCTCATAACACTTCAATATGTACACAATTCCCTTAATTCCAAATTGTCAACTTCAAACATAAAGTTCGTCTCGTAAACCGCGACAATATTGACAAGCTTCCATTACCTTGTTGCATGCGTGTAAATTAGATGGTCTGCGAGCATCGATCACCAGGAACGTTTGAAGCGTGTCACGATCGTTTTAATGCAAACGCATCGTACTATACCTGTATATATACATACGGTATATGCATATTGCAATCATGGCGATTCTACACAGATGATTTGTAACACGAAATATACACGTGTATCGTTGAAACAACTTACCGATCCGGTGTGCGCTGAGGGCGCCAATATACGCACATAAGCGTTTTATCAATAAATTCCATCTAACTGCGAGATTATCGATGAGATCCGGCCATCTCGTCGATGTCATGGGCATTGATGTTAAAACCAGATGGAATTCCCAGCCGGTAGACAGGACCATTAAAATAATTGTAGTTCTCGTGTCGTTAACTAACGGCTATAAATGATGACCGGGAGCCTGATTTATTATCACGCGGAACGACAATGTCGTTTACCGACCGAGGAACATGTCGAAAAGTGGTTACCAACGTTACATGCTATTAACTCTTCGCGAGTAAATTCGCTAATTGAGATTTGGATTTAGATTTCTGTAATCTGTATTTGATTAATGATCAAAAAGAGGATGACGAAAATTTTAACATATCGTCAATATATAAACAATTATGTCTTGTAACATGAATGAATCAATGTTGATAATATTAAAATTATTGTGATGTTTTATCGATTGTTAAAAAAGAAAAGATCGATAATTGAATATAGAGTAGATAGAAAAGGGGAGAACAACTATGGCAATTGTTCTTCTCGATCGTTGTATTATCATATAAATTGTGTATATTAATTGGTAATTGGAAATAGGAGAGCTGTTTTTACTGATATTGGCATCTACCGACTCGTCGGTTAATAATGGGAAAAAAAAGAAAATTTAAAAGAACATTATTTTCAAATAGATAGATAATTATATCTAGTAATAAATAGACGGTCAATCGTGAATCAGTCATATATTGTGAAGAAATAAAAGAAGAAAAATTATGTTATTAATGAAATATAAAGAAAATAAAGATCGTGAATGTTTCGTAAAATATGAAAAGATCATAAAAAAAGGTGTTTAATTTTGATTAATTAAATTCCAACGCTAGTTAATGACTCGATAACCAAGTATATATCATTGATACAAGCAATTTTCCCAATCTTCACGGAATATCTCGAGCTAGTAATTACGTCAATTAGGGGACGACCTTAGGTTAATAAATACTAATGCTGTCCCATCCGGTATGAATGTTTCTGTTCAGCTCGTCGCTTGCTAACAGCGGCGAGTCCGGTTTAAACCTCGTAACAAGCGATAATTTCCCTCAAGGTGATGATGCAAAAAATTTGCATTTCCTATAAGAATGTGTCAAGTATCGGTAAACATGCTAAAGTTCAAAAATTTCCATTCGACATTCGATCGTTATTGATATATTATAACATTCAAAAGATAATGGGAAGAATTTATGATTCTAATATGATTCTTTAAAATTTCAAAAATATTCATAAACTTCTATATTAAAATTCTATATAAATAAAATAAAATTAATATAAAAAAGAAATTTCTTTAGATTCTGCATAACTGAATATCAGATTTTAAAAGTGTGAAAAAACATTGTAATTATAAAAAAAATTAAACAACGCGATAAATTTTAATTTTTTATAACAATAAAAATATATGTTCGATTTCACTTGTCACACGTTTTCAATTCTATTGTGGCTTTGCTAAAATATTCCAGCGACCTCCAGAACAGTGCCATTATCCGAATTGAAAACATCACGCTCGCGAATAATCGCGAATAGGCCAATAGGCAACCTGAAGAGCTAGTAGTTTCACTTTCTGGCTGACTTCCAATGTCCCGGAGACCTGAATCCGTATTTCGTATATCGATCGATATTTTTTTTTTATCCATGTGAAACTATCCATTACACTTCTTCACTGTGAATATATTCTTTCACATTTTTTAGCTTTCTATTTGACAACTTATCATCACTGTTTATTAACATACACAATGATATTCGTCCAAAGATTTTTCATCACTTTTTTATTGACCATTTAACAATGAAAGATTAATTATAGAAAAAAAAAATCTTAAGTCAAATCTTAATCTTAACGCAATTATTATACAATTATATTTAAAGTGAGAAATATTTAATGTACCTCTTCTGATTTTGAAACTAAAATTTCTAATTTTTTCCATGAAATTAAATAAAGTTCAACTTTTAATCATTTATTTCTTAAGACTGTATATTAATATCCAGAACGTATAACGAATTTTCGTAATTATATAGAAGCTTCTTAAAAATAATCTTTCTTTCAATTTATTTCATTATCATTTTAAATATCAATTATTGTAATAACGAGAAAACAAAGTTGTCCGATGTTCTAGTACAAGCGTACTTGATCTAGAAGTGTTGTTAATAAGCAGTGCGTGGTGACAAAAATGCAGAGATCAATTAAGGTTAACAGCTTGTAATTTTACGGCATTTCTGTTTCCTATTCATTGCAGAACAAAAAAAAACCGAACAAAAACGGAGAAAAAAAAAGAAGAACGACACAATTACGACACAAACATGATTAAAACATGAATATATCATAAAATAAGTTTAAAAAAAAAACCATAGAAATTCATTTCAACATGCGAAAAAATTGCTTACATTGTGTTGCTTAATTATATAACAGGATTGGCCGATATATAAGACCGTGTATCATTGATTGAAATTTAAACAGATTAACCGAATCTTATCCGAGGCGAAAAGGTTAAAATCAGAGAAACCTTTGCGAGGGCCGCCATTACGATCTATCGTGGCGCCCTCATTGTCCTTCCACCATTCTCTAAGTCTTCTTTTTTTCCTTTTACGAATGCGAAAGAACAATGCGGCCTCGTTTGACGATCGAACGAAGTTAATTATTGTACAGGCTCCGATTCACGTACCTTTCGAATATCGATGTTTAATTTCTTCAACTTACATTGTTCGTTTCCATTGAAATTACATACACGTAGAATAAAATGTCGCGCGTTGACAATACTTACATTGTTCTTCGGAGGATTAAGTTAATAAATTGATGAGGAGCAATGGAGAAATAATTGCTCTCGCGATTCAGATAGAACTTATATTAACTAACTTATATTAGTTATCATATGACTTTTATATATTCGTTAGAGAACTGGAATTTAAGTTTTGTTCTTATAACAAAATTTACATACTCGATATTACTTGTAATTATTAGATTGTTAGATTTATATTTATAATTTGTTTCGTAAAGTTTTCGAAGTTATTTTAAAAACGATAGAAATTATATTATAAAAAAAGGAAAAGAAAAAATTTTGATGAAAAGATTGTTTTTTAAAATTTAATTTATCCCGCATTGTTATCATGATGCTTTGATTTTATTCAATGAAAAATAAAATCTCATATAGAAAATAAAAATAATAAATTTTTAATTTTCTATAATCGATTTGATTATTTGATTCCTATCCAAGTTTTATTCAATATTCGATCTTTTAATGTTTTGAATAACATATTAATGACAATAAAAAAATATATATTTGTCTTACATTCAATATCGACATATTATATTCGGTTGATTATTATAGCCGGATTGAAAGAACGCTGACAAAAATTTTCGGCTATCAAATGCAAATCCGATAGACTCTCAACGAACGCTCCGATATTAAATTTCATACGTCCTGATTGCGACCCGAATTCTGTGGAAACACTTCATCGACAGGAAGTGTCCAAGAACTTGACACCAAAGACAGGGATGGTCTTAAATTTTTTAACATGTATTTCACACGCCCCTATATTGCAATATTTGTCACGTTTTATACGAGATTAGCAAGTGTTTTAATACTTAAAAAATCTATTATAAAAGAGAAAAAAGAAAAAATTTATATATTGTGATTATACAACATAAAAAAAATTGCGTATATATTATTAAAAAAAACGCAAACATTTTGATTACAAATAGAGACGTGTATATAGCTAGTAACTTAATTTACAACACTTGTTTGCGATATCAAGTCGCAAGTGAATTGTGCGAACATAAATATTCATGGAATGCTTAGTGTGTCTGATAGATCAAAGAACCGTGAATATGCATGCTCCTTTGGCAAATCGCGTTAATAATATGCGCTATCAGATCCTGGTATATTAGCCGATTACCTCCTACATGGATGCATATGGAAATGTGTATCAATCGACTTCTGTTCGTACACAAATCTCACTAAGTCTCTGATAAATATTTCAAGCACGAAGCCTTCAAACCTTTTAAACTATATATTTTTTACCCTAGACATCGACACCTTGCGAATCACTATTATGGCGGTAAAAAAGAACCGTGCAACTAACTTGTGTTCGTCGTGTAACACTGATCGCCGGATATTAAGAAAAAAAAAAAAAGAGAAAAAAAAAAGATCAGTTGATTAAGGACGTTCACACATGCAATATCCTTTTTTTTTCTGGTTACATGTTCAAAATATATAATAAAAAAAAAAACATTATAGTAATTGCATTAGATTTCGTTAATTTCAAAATAGTAACAGATTCGAGAATATATTCATTAAAAGAATATTGTTTAAATATATACTTTCTAAAATATCTTTATTGAATGTAGTTTCTCAATTTTCACTGGCAAGCATCACGATTTGCGCACGCAAAGTTGTTTTTTTTTCTTTCTCACGACATGAGAAAAAGAATCCCCAGAAAAAGAAAAGTCACAAAGCATTCCTCGTAGTGCCGAGTCAATAAGTATTACAATAATGTAATAGCTCTATATAGAAACCATGATAGATTTTTGAATGGAAATTGACAATGACTTTACTATAATTAAATACTTCAATAATACAAATAATCTAAAAAATTTCTATCCAACGATATAACTTAGCTACAAATCGAACTTCAATGCGCGAGAGTAACCTTTAGATCGTGCAATATGCCACGATGCGGCGCAGCGTTCGAGACGTTTCATTAAAAGTCGATGTTACGACATCGAGGTGCTCGATCGCTCGCGCAGATCTAGGCATGCGACCTAGACCCGACCTTTCCCAAGTTCCTGACGGAAATAAGGCTAATACAGCTACCGACACTTAGCTTCGGTAATCGAACCAAGAAATAAACGACGTTCCACAGCCGCGATCACGGAGCCACTCGAATTACGAGAACGTGAGTATCGATTGAGTTTTAAGTAGCTTTCGTTCGTTCCTTGTCGTTGGAAAACAATGATTTATTGTTTATATTTTCTCCTGATTATTTTAAGCATTGGATTAATAGAAAGAAAAAAATAGTTTTAACTTTTATACTTTCGTCAATTTTCGACTTTCATGATAAATGATAAATATATATATATGAGTAATATATATAAATAACCGAAGTAATAATCTGTGATGGAGAAAGTTGATAGAAAGTTATTCTATAGAGAGAATTAACGTGTTAATGTGGTGTGATTAAATCGAAAAAATTTTTGTGGTTTCCGTGATGTATATAAATATCTATGATATACAAGAATTATACATTATACTTCTATACATTATACTATAAATAAATTTCATCTTCACGGTTTTGATCGAAGTTTCAAGTTCTTATATCATCACATTTCTATCATTTTTAAATTTTATAATCTTACTATTTTCATGTAAATTATATACATATATATATATTTTATTCCCGCCTATCAGAAGTCATAGTGATGTCTAAGCAAACTTCGATTTTCTAAGCGTGAAAAGAATAAAATTCAAAGGATAATATTGGTAATATTTTATGACGCGGCTTGTCACCGTCTCGCTTCGATAAGTATCGCTATTGAAATTGCGAAATGTGTCGAATAAGGTCAAACTTGGTTAAATAGAAATTAAAAAAAAAGAGAGAGAGAGAGAGAGAGAAAGGCAGGGAAAAGGGAAGAAAAATTCAATTAGAATGATCAAAAAGTTCGAGCGACCATCGAGAACGATCGAAGTTATTATTGTATTAATTAAGGAACAAAGAGAAATAGTTAGATGGGATTCGTGTCGAAAACTTTCCTCTTGTCTTATATATGTTCGCAGGGTTCAATCGATTTCACGGTGAACTTTCTAAGAATATTTCCACGCCTTTGCTGGAGAACTTCCGGTAACGAAACGTTTTCGTACCGTCACTGCGTTCGATCAATCGAAGAATAAACGCTGCTTTCGATATTTAAATAATAAAACAAATTTAATTTAATAGTATGATAGAAATTAAAAATATGATAGATTAGTCATAATCCATGCAATTTCCTTTTAATTATTAAACACTATAATTAGAAGAAAAATTTAATAATGAAGAATATTTATTGCTACGATATTTCAGATTATTAAGATAATTCTAAAAAAAGATCAATAAGAAAATGTCAGAACTAAAGAGCAAATGCTTTCTCTTAATTAAATATTCTTCTTTTTTTCCTTTACTTTAATTCAAAGTAAATTGACTATGATATATAACTATATTTCTTTTCTTGGCGCTATTTTTTTAAAAAAAAAAGATATTCATTCCTTGCTGCGAACGATCTCGATCTCGTCACAGATGAATAACCGTGGAAATATTTATAAATGCGACACTCATAATTTAGTCGATGACCGAACGTATCGTGCTTTTACCGACCGGTATGCGGCTCTCGGGCCAATATTTCACGGGATAATAAGGAACAAACAGCGTTTCCTTGTTCCGGGCGACGCGAGAGTGTTATTATACTATGGCGGCGGGTCGAAGGTGGCGATGGCGGAAATTCGTTCGGCCAAAGGCCACACGGTCTCGACCAATAAAGCGTAAATGGATTAGTCTCTAAGCCGCTGATACGACTACGGAAATCCAAAGTGGAACGGGGAGAAGATTCCGTACAATCTCGGCGAATCCACTGTCAACGGACACTCTCAGAAGCCATTACATACATCTTCCTTATCCGACCGACTGAAAACAAATTTCTTGCGTTTACGATCGTCTCTTTCGCGATTTCTCTTTATTCTGAATATTTCTCCTTAAAGATAATTTCTCGATAAGATATAAAAATAAAAATTTCTTTTCGTTATCTCTTTTAATCTTCTTTTCTTTTTTTACCAAGAAAAAACTTTACGTGGATAAATTTATCTTATTTCTTTATTCTTGGTTTAAATTTATTTCAAGTTGTATATTATAAAAGCTTATTTTATAGATCGAAACAGAGATAGTAACACGTTCTTAGAGCGAACGGATTTTATTTTGAGAATGTATAAGGAATTAAAGGAGATGAACGAAGAGTTTCTCTTTTCGATATTAATTCGATATTTAAATCTACTTTAACTCGTGGTAAATAAATTTTCCAAAAATCACGCTAACTAATTGTTTTTTTAATTTCATTATTCTAATAACTATTGAGTTTGTGTACAAGTTCTAACCAATTACGTAACGAGTATTCCATTTCACGTACAATTTGCTTAATTTTTTTATCCCAATCAAGTTAAATGAAAATCATCTTGTTATAATAGTGATAAATCATCATATGGTGGCGCTTGATGCATCTGGTTGGACGACACCAGTAACCATTGAGACGTCGAGAGGAACAGAATCCATCCAACTTCTCCCCTCTAACGAATAGGAAATTAGACGGGCAACGTTTCAACTTTCCGCCGCGAACATTTTTTCCCCTCTCCAAAACCCTCTACACACTTTATGACACGCGAGACCGTAAGGGTCTTTCATTACGACTTCGTTACGATTCCTCGGTAGCGCGCACGCACGCACGCACGCACGCACACACACAAACGCGCACATGTAACGAAAAACGAGAGGGGGAAGAGAGTGTAAGACGAGGTTTCTCCGGCGAACCGAGAAAATGGGAACGGACACAGACGAAAGTTGGGGGGAGCGGGGATGATGTCCAGAAGGTTTGGCAGTAGACGTCGAAAGAGAAAAGAAAAGCGACTGTTGGAACAGCTGCTTCTGCTTATGTCCGTCGTTCGTCACAGAGGAGGAGCAACGAATGAGACAGAGATGAAACGAAAGAATCGTCGTAAGGAAAAAAGTAATACGAGCGAAGAGCTACGAAGAAACCGAGCGACTGTGAATGACGCAGACCGAGTGTTAGAGAGATGGAGAGAGATAGAGAATGAGCGATGCGGAGGATGAAAGAAGGCAGAAAGCGTGGGTGTGGTGGTGCAGGGAGCAGAAGAACTCGTCTATATACGGGGAACCCCCCGCTGGTTGCTGGAGTACCGATCGATCGTACCGCGTTTGCTCGACCGTACTCCCCTCCCTCTCTCCCTCTTCCTCCGACCATCGTCCCCTACTCTTTCTAGCAGAGAGTCCGTGATTCTCTCTCCGATACACACCCCAGCTCGACCTTCTCCCTCTATATTTCTCTGTCTAGCCTGTATTCATCGGTACAAGCCAGAGAGGAACGCCTGCCTTCTGCAACCCGTCTGGCTTCGCGCGACACTCGTATTACCACGGTCATGTTCTGCTAAGATTTCCGTAGAGAATAACTGAAAATAGGAAAAACGAGGAGAAAGCTTGCCGACACACACACACGTATATGGAGAATGTATACAATGGATGGATATGTGGTACGAAAATTTAGGATCACTGATTATTTTTTGCGTTAAATTTGTATCGTCTTAATTTGTTAATCTTAAATCCATGATGTTCGAATTTTTCTGTGATTTATAGATTGAATTTTTTTTTCCAAATAAAATAAAGATGCAATGATGAATGATATATTTTCTTTTCTGGTAAGATAATAATATTTTAGTAAAAGATAAGTAAATTTAGAATGCAAGTTATATATTACTCGTTTTAGAAAATATTATAAAAAAACATTACCTACAAAAGGAGAAATTACTAGAATTTCAAACAGCTTACAAAACGTAGTTACCTGAAAACAGAATGAAAATCAAAAATTAAAAAAATTAAAAAAAATATATGTATATTTACATCATAGTTCATGCAGTAGAAAATAATGGATTTACTGGTTGATAATACATTAAAGAAAAATGCGAGCAACGACAGAGTAACCGTATAAAACTTTTGAACGTTAGTTTGTGGAACGTGTACTAGAGAGTTTCGTGTTTTTGAAACTTGCAGAGTGAGGTTATATTCCGTTTGTTACGTCGGGATTAGAAATGGAACTGCAATGTGCTTTCCTGGAGGTAGCTCTAGAATATCCTCGCATGGGATCCAAGCTTGTGTTATTCTCTCTTGTTTGTCATTTTTTTCTCACTTCCTCCCTTTATAGTTTTGTCGAATAACCCAACGACATTTAGCCGAGGTTGGAATGTTCATTACCGGGGAAAAACATACCGGTTATTTCGAGGAGAACGTTTACGAAGACAATTTGCATGGGGGACCACCCGCGGGAATGTTGATGCTCGTTCGGATCCAATCAAAATATTTGCAGGCCGGCTGGGGGGCAGAATCGAAAAAATCGTATCAACGAGAGGCGGCCGTGACTTTACGCCACTTTGAAGCCGACTGTACTCAGTCGTCATTGCAAATCGGCATTTATCGAGTCGAATAAACTTCGTAAATAGAAATCGGGAAGCTGTGAACGCAACGGCGCGTCAATTTCCTTCCTATTTTAAACGAAGAGTGGGTGATCAGTGATCGATCGCGAAGAAATTGCGTACAGTTGGCGGAAATAATACAGTTAAATATCATGAAATAGGTTAGTTTAAGTTTAAACTAGAAATTGACACTAGTTCGTTCTACCGCGCATGCGCCAATGATGAGAGTGAAATAGAGTAATTATTATTCAATTAGAAAGAATTAAATAAAATATAATTGTATCTCGTGTAATTTAAAGTAATTTTTTAATAATAATAATAATAATAGTAATAAAGAAATGTTGCAAAAAATATAAAAGAAGAATTATATTTTTCCTGTTCTAATAATTAAATAATAATTAAATCATCGTCGATGCAGATCTTAGATGGCACTGAAGTTTGCATAATATCAGGAAGTGGTAGGGGATACCATATAAGCGGACAAATTCATGATCATATATTCCAACTATTACTTATATACTTTTGACTGACAGAAGATGAACGTGTGACAAGTGGAACGTGTCGTAAGGAGAAACCCTACTAGAAATTCCTCGTTAGAAATGCCATTCGCGATATTAACGAAATAACTTCTATCATAACCTATACCAACATATCGAACTTACGTTTTCCTTTTTGATCACTTTTAACTTTCTTTTCGCACTAAACATTCCTAATCTAACTCTTTCCTAACACGTTTCAGCTTCGTATTTCGAAGCTAAGTGAAATTCCATTCCATCTCAACATAGCACTCGTTTTCTCTCTTCGTAATGGAGTTATCCGTGGTTGGTTCACAACCGACCCGAAAGATTTCTCGGCCAAATTGCCGACTGGTCTTTGTTTAGCCGGATTCCTGATTGCCCGGACCCGTAACCGGAAATGAAGCTCGATCTCTCGCCCCGTTGGATTACGGTTCACCACCGAAATCGAGAATTAACTGTGCGTTTTATATCGGTGCTTTCGTTTCACCGCCACGTTCGTTTCCAAACAGACCGGAGAGGAAAAAAGAAAAAGAAAAGAAAAGAAAAGAAAGAGAGAAAGGAAAAGAGAAATAAAAAAAAAGTATAGAAGAAAGGAAAAAACGAAAGAGGGAAAAATAAAAAAAGCGACGGGAGAGCTCGTTGATTAAGGCACCGACGCGCAACCATTTTATCCCCGCTATTTCAGATCCATTATTTCGGATCCGCGGCACAGACCGACATGAAAATTTCAATTTCCGGCAACAAACGAACCGCGGTACGGGATAGGTAGATGAAAACGGCGCGTATTGTCGACGATGCGTCAAAAGCTGGCGTATCCAGCTACGTCGTATTAATCGACGAAAAATCAACTAAACACACGATCGTTTTCTACCCGATTTCAAATAGTAATATTTGATTATAATAAGTAATATTTGATGATAATATTCTATTTCGATCGGCGAATCTTAAATATTTCATTCTCAGAATTATATATATTTCATTCTCGGAGAAAGTAAAAGGTCTTCGTGATGATTAACCGATACTTTATTCATTATATCGTACGGTCACGCGAATGTTCGGGCAACATTGACGTAGCGATGGACGTCATTTTGGACGGAAGTTAAAATCGTAATCACAGGAACGTTGGTTTTGTCAAAATCGATAATCGGTGGATATTTATATGAAATACGATAAAAATTACTATATTTCTTAATTTCATTAAAATATTAAAATATCAATATTTGTTAATATTTATGCGCATTATGCGCATAATGAGAAATTAAATCGACTTATTATTTATAATAAATTATAAATCCTAAATTATTTGATCCTTTTTTTTTTTTAGATCGTGATACTTATTTGAATAAGCAATCTTTTTTAAGTGAGTTGTACAAGGATTAATTTAAACGTATTGCATCATCTTTTTCTTTTGTATAAGCGTGTTTAATCTTCATTGAAAAATGCAACGCGGTGGAGGATATAATCCATGGTTATTCCAGGTATAAATATTTTTATCTGTATCCAACGCGTGATGGTGATATAAATGAAAATTTAATCCACGAACATCGGTTAAAATTTCGTGAAATATTAATCCTGTGTGAAAACTTTACATAGAGAACTATTACAATATACAAACATATATTTGCGTTTTAATTTCCTTGATTAACGAGAAAAATATTCAACACCAGAGTTATAGTTCATAAGATTAAGATCAGGTCAAAAATTGTGTGAAAATTATATTGTGCATACATTTCATTCTATTATTTTCAATTCTTGAAATTATATTATATTAAAAAATTCTATTCGTTTAATAAAACTTGCGTGACTTTGTAATTATATTAAACTTGCAATTAAGAGAAGTATATTATAAAAAAAAAAAAAAAAAAATAATTAATTCTTTTAATAAGATGCATTATAATTTATAATGATGTTTTGTTAACAGAATTCTTAAATTAAATTCTTAAATTAATGAACGCAACGTTTAAATCATAACCTTGATTTTCTCGAAGTAATATTTAAATATTAAACTTTTAAATATTAAAAGTTTTTCAACGAGTTGTTAATTCAAATGTATACGTGTTGGAATTTATATAAGTAGTCATTGATTATGCATGATGCGAGACATTCGTTGAATTAATGCTGAATGTAACAATCGTACATAGATAATTAGAGGCTCATAATGGACGTGTAGAAATTCGCAAATGTAATATCTTCCGAATTTAAATAAATTACCTTATCATTGTATTGTTCAAAATACATATTATTGTTCTCAAATCATCTCAATATATTCAAAAGATATTTATTAAGTCATGTTATAATTTCAGATTTTCTTATCTGTGATTCAAATGTTCCTCCTCTCAATGATCTTCGAATATTAATATCTCGATCTTAAATTTGTTTGAAATGAAACCATCTTTCGAGTCTTCATCTCTCGAAACTTAAAGAATTTTTTAACGATAGAAAAATACTAGATCTGCAATGAATATACCCTAAAAAGCATACGATTAAATAATATTGATAATTGATAAGATTTTGATAATGGCAAAGATTTTCAAATAATTAACCAAACTCCAAAATACGATTATAAAGTTCCACATGTATTGACTTAATCTTCGTCTTATCCCTTCAGATAACGAAGATAACCCGCTCAGCTTCCGGTGTCCGAGTCCACTTGACCTAAAAGCGTGCTCTTCCGAAATGGAGCCTTCAAATTGGTTTCTGCTCGTACGGAGTCTTGCATCTTTTTGGGGTTTAAAAAGGTGAAGTCCTCTCTCCGGGGGAAGGCCATACGAAATAAGTTCTCCGTCTGGTTTCTTGTGTCTCTTGCATTAGAGACACGTCTTGATTAAAGAGAAAGAGTGAAGAGAGAGGAAACAGGAAAAAGAAGAGATTATTATTTTTTATTATTTTTCTTAAAATGGCTGATAATTTTACAGACATTAAAAATTGTACATTTAATGAACATCACATTATTGTCTATACAGATTTACATTTTTTCATACGATATCGAATCTACTAAGATTTACTCTTTTTTTCTTTTCTGTTTAATTTTTTTTTTTTTTTGTTTATTTCTCGATTGATTTAAACTTGAAATTTGATTCAGTTTTTAAACACGATATGAGATTTATATTATTTTTCTTTCCTCGTAGAATATTGAATCAAGAAAAGTTAATTTTCTTCTTCGTTTTCAATGAAAAATAAAAATGTTTGTGGATTGTATAAAATAAAATTTATTCTTCGAAGTCTATTTTTTCTCTCATACCTTTTAAAAAATATTTAGACGTTTTTGATTATATCTAGATTAGCAGTTCTGATTAACTTTGGTATTTAAAAAAAAATATCGATCTTTGATTAATATTAACAATTGAATTTCTTTAATTTAGATTTCATTTAATTTATATCGATGAAAAATTAAATAAAAAAAATTTTAAAAAAAAGTTGAAAATGCAAATCAAAAATGCAAATAAATTAAAAATATATTTATTCTTTTTCTCTTATGAATATCACTTAAGAATAAGGACTATTTCAAAACTATTATAAGAATTTGCAGAAAAGTAGAGAGTAATAAAATCCTGGTAGAATCTCGTTAAGAAAGAATACATGGCTTATCATCTTAACATCGAAAGACTATTCAATTCATGAATAATAATTAAAGGTCAGATTAAATGTTGTCGAAGTTCAAATGTCTAACAGATGTTGAATATAAAACAGATTATTAATATTTATCTTGTTTGAAAATAAATAATCAATGTTCGATAAACGGATTAATTTAATAGCTTTTCTTTGTGAACTAAATTTGAATCGTGATAAAATTAATTCTTAACATTATTTCTATGAAAATTGACTTAATTTTATCTATTAAATTAAAATAAAATTATTGTTTGAATTATCACAAAATATGTATATATTTTTTAATCATATATAGTAATACGAATTTTTAATCATATATAATAAAATAAGAAATAGATGAAAGAAAAGAATGAGATACATTTGGTCTAAGATTTAATAAAGTTCATTAGAATTTTGTACATTTCTTAAATGTTTTGTCATAATATTCGAGAACAAAAACATTCTTCAACTAATTTAGTATTGTCAAATACCAAATTATATAAGAAATATCTTTATAAATGAATTAAAATTTACAAAGATTAATTACGAAAAATCTAATATTTTTAAATATCTAGTTAACTTTATTCCAAAGTTAAACATGACGATTGTAAAGATTAAACAAAAAAATTCTATTTCAATCTAAATCTCTCGATGATTATACAAAACCATCACAATAATAATCACTGATTTTATGTTTTTAGATTAAAATGAGAGATAATTACTTTTCCTAAGCAAAATTTCAATTACAAATTATCATAGGTTCGAAATTGTTAAATTAATTTCAACCTATTCTACATTTTTTGATAAAAAAAATGAAAAAAAAGAATTATCACTTCAGAAATATTATTTATTTAAAAACTTACTATTTGAGAATGATATCGGACTATAACCAAACAGAACAACCATGTCTTCTCTAAGATGATTGGTAAACAGAGCGTCATCCTCTAAAACTGGTTATGTAGCTATGTACCATCCAGGTTATGTCACCGAAACATTGCCCGACTATGCGACATACGATGCAAACACACAGAGCTGCTCTATCTCTCCTTGAAACAACATCATGCTGTCGAAAGGGTATCGCCAATGAGCTTATATAACGTATTATATGTTGGTTTGCTCGGAAATAATGTATAGTGGTTCTGTATTTTTCTCGAATGTCAATAACACAGCGCGGGATGTACTGCCATGAATATAAATTTCGCTGACTTTAGCTACACTAGCGTCATCTTTCTGAAACTTCATTATAATTATTTCCACGCACCATCTTGCGTCAACTTTCTCAAGTAGAAGTAAACTGGTTGTAATATAATCCTTATCAATATTAAAAGATCGTTAAATTTTGATTGAAAAATTATATATCTTTAAATTATTATAACTTCGTGACAAAGAAACACAAGAAATATAATAATTTACTTAATCTCATTTTAAATTCGATATTCTAAATTGAATTTCAATTACATTGTTAATATCAAATTACCAATTATAAATATGTTAATATATTATTATTTTTTTAAAGGTATTTTATAATTTTTATCTACTTCGATAAAGTCTAAGGATCTAATCTCTTTAATGAATTATTCGATATGTCGTAAGAAATTTTAAAAACGTCATTTACATGAAATCATAAAGGTACGATTTATGTAAATTAAATTAATGGCATATGAATGCCACTACACAATGCTAGACACATTATAAGGTTAATAATTCATTACATGTATGACGTACAATTAAAGCGTCACAAGATCTCTGGTGGCTTGTCGAAAGTTTGAACCAAGTCAATTCTTCTGATCGCGGTCTTTTAAAAAAGTCGAGATTCGAGATTAGCTGCCTCTTGTACAGTCCTTAGGGAGCGGCCTAATTGCTTCTCGGTATACTTGACGTCGACCGTCCCTTTTCAACGCCTCTTCGAACCTTGAGCTTTCGTCCCTGTGGGCAATTCTTTTAAAAATAGCGACGATCGTCTTTCTTTCCCCTTTTTCTGAGAAAAATCCTTTTTTACCTTATCGCATCAATTTGTCCCTTAATTAATGCTCCTGGACGTGTTTGGCGCGATCCATTTAACCGAAGATATTGATAGTTCATCGAAATCTTTTTTAGAGTACTTTTGTTAACAATATGATTTTGAAATGAATATGATTTTCAAAATAGATAATTTGTATAATTAATAAAATAATACATTATTTGCAAATATTATCAATCTCTTTTTTCTATTCTGATATTTATTATTAATTATTCTATCACTTCATCGACGAGTTTCAAATAAACTTTTATTATCTTAATCTAATCTTCTTATATTTTTCTCATCTGGTAATTAAGATAGATGAAATTGATTCAACGTTCTATCTTAATCTTATCTAACTATCTTATCTAACTTATACAACCGAAAAAAATAAATCAGTCTTGAGATAATGCAACTGGCAAATGTAAATCAGGAGATTCCTCGATCGGATTAAAGCACGAGCGACGAAACGGAGAATAGTGGTGGAATCCCTAGAGCAGGAATTCTCAATAATGCACCATAGCATTCGTGATCTATCCGATCCCCTTCCTAGCAGCGTTCTTTCTATGTTAAATATAGGCGACCCGACACGTACTCTCCGATTCAGTTCAACAGCCAACATATTTCGCGTATTCTCTTCTTGTACTCGTGGCCAGAATATGAGAAAATAGGAATAAAGGAAAGACGGATATTAATTCTCATCTTTCATTTTCTTAAATTAATATTCCTTAATTTCTTTTTATATTTCTAATAAAATCAAGTTAACAGAGTATAAAATTTTTAGAATGAAATTTTTCATAATTTAAATTAAAGATAATCATGACCTTCTCTTAAATCCACAAGTTATAAATCTGGAATCTCTTGAATTCAGATATTTTTACGGTTAATCGTAAATTTCGTCACAAATTGTGTGGAAGAATTTGTTAACTTGATTAGTTGTCTGCACAAACATTCTCCAAGTATTTAATTAAATTTACACGAGGAACACGTTGATAATTTTGATCGGTTACGTCTAACATCGAAATCCGATAACTATATTACTACTCGTGATGTAATTGTATTGATTTACGACAAAAATGACGGAATTTAAAAATTGTACGTCATTAGTTTTAAATTTAAATAATGTGGAATTTTTTAATTTTTATTTTAATAAGCAATAGAATGCAATGATTTTTTGAAAATTTTGTTTAAAATACAATTACACGTTTAGAATGCATTATGTATCTTTATAATTCTGCATTACATACATAAAGCATTTGTCATTAAAATTTTGATAAAGAATATAATTTAAAAAATATTTAACTTTTATGATCTCGATCTATCAATTGAATATTTCGCAATAAATCTTTTTTTGTGATTTTTTTTTTTTACATTCGTTATTTAAATTGTACTAACATTGAAAAACATTTAATAAAATTGCTTAATATATTGATATTTCATGTATATTCTATATTCAGAATTTAAAAACTCGATTTTAGTTTTTAATTCGGAAAATAAAAGAATCTCTCCAAATGTGAAGATGACGTATGTTTTGAAATGAAATTAATATTAAATTATATATAGCATATAATTTATGAAAGAGAAAAATCTACAATTTTTTATTATTTATCGGTACAATAAATATTAAAATATTTACCATGGTTAAAAATATAACATCCTGCGTTACGAATAGCATAAAGAAAAGAGAAATAAATTCATGACCTCTTTCACTCTTGTACACTTGTTTGAAAATGAACACCTGTCATCCAAACACATGTTTATTTACTTTAAAATGCGCTTTCAAGTTCCTTTCATATTCTTTTTGATAGAGAATTCAGTGTGCGCCGCGTACTGCAAACCTTCACTTATCCCATTAAAATCAACCCTTTCTTCACATTTTTATCGTATATCCGACGAAATATTATCTTGTTCAAATAGACTTTACATTTGTGAAAAATGCAATTTTTATTTTTTAATAATTTTTTCAAGATATTTTTGAATGAATGTTCTTGTTTACACGAATTAAAAATTGATAAGGAAGACATGCACTATAAAAAGCAAGGTAACTATGTTATCTAATTCAAACCACTCGTGTATATACTAGGAAGAAACATTTTTAAAAATTAAATATAAACGACAACAATTTTATCGTGTTAAACTTTAAAAACTCAATCTAATTTTTTGCTTGAGAGAAAAATCTAAATTATTATTTTCTGTAATTAATTTCAAAAAGATTAGAAATTTCATCAGAAATACCAATCTATATATATATATACATATAAATCAATCAAATTGAAAATTTAGAAAACGTTATCAAACGTTTAATAAGGAATTTAACAAGACCACCCAAATAGGTTGGTCTTCTCGAATAATTTAACTGCGAGTAAGGAACTGGTTAACCTCGACCCTCGGTCTTCTCTCCTCGAGAGGGATTGCAAGCGACTAGATTGGTGCAGACGACCGAGACTGATCGATGAAGAAAAGTATGCTATTTCAGGATGCTTGAGTAGTCGTGGTAAATCTGGTGCTCCATACGTAGTGACACCTTCTCGAGAGACTATCGATTCTCCTTCGTTTTTCATCCATCGCCTCCCTTCCTACTTCCTCCTCCTATAAGTATTTACTTCCCTCTTCATCTTCTATTCCTCTCCATTTCCTTTCCTTTCTTTTCTTTTCTTCCCTCCTCTTTCTTTTTCTCGAAAAGCGTCAGAACACAGTCAGAAATTCTTATGTAAATCGAATTCGCCGTTGGAACTGTTGGAGGAAATGCCACGAATGCTACTGGAAACGTACGATCCGCAATACGTGTCGGTGGTGTGTCGTCCCAGGGATAAATCGATAAACGGCATGCGATATTAGAAGCTCTTTCCGCTGGATAAAGCACCGTCATGCCAGTGAAACGGTGGATTTCGATGCGATAAGACCTAACTAAAAGTCCGTATTACTGCGCGCCTTTTTCATCCCCTCTATTAAATCGATTTGTTTACCTTGCGTTCTTACATTCTTACCTCAGAGCCGCGTGGAAACCGCCTTTCCACATATTTCCCTTGCATCACTCCCTTACACGTTGATACCACGATAAATTTTATTTGAAAATGCGGCAGACATTTGCTTTATGGAGACGCATATTCCTAGGTATTTTTTTTTTTTTTTTTTT